GATTCTTTTTTAACCTTGTCTTTTTCTTTTAACAAACTTTTTAGAAGTGCCTCAACATTCTTCTTAACCTCACCTTTTTTTAACCGAATTTTATTATATCTATAAATTCGGATTTCTAAAGATCGCTGTAACTCACAATTTTGTTTATAAAGCACTTCCATACTTAATAAAAAAATTTCTTGCAAAATTTTAGCAACAACATGTGCACTAACGCTATGTTTTTTACATTGATATCTATGATATTACATTGATATCTATGATATTCGATTGTTTTATTACTTTGTGACGTCAAAACATAATTTTCGAAAGCTATACGTTATCTATTTAACTTGGAAAAATCAATAAACCCGTTCTCACGCATTTGATGGACTATGTATCATTTTATTTATAATTTTAATTTGTTCATAATTAGGTCTCTTATTTTAGACGATTATTGTTATTCTTACTAAATATATGCACTAGCAATAATTAATAAGAACCCATTACTGTTTTATACTCAATCTAACACCTATAGCAATTGCGCAAAGTTTGAAATCATATTTCTTAATTTTAATATAATTTATTATTCTTATATTCGCGCGAGAATATTGTATAGCGCTGCATATAGTAAGTACCTCCTGCAATAGTATTCCCTTTTTTAACAAGCAATTTGTGGCCTCATTTTCATTATTAATAGTGCGATTTTTCATTGGGTTTGATTTGTTTAACAGCGGGGTATATATTAATTAGTAATGATTATTTGCATTATCTTCCCATCTCTCAATATTTGGGGTATTATTCAATCTAGGTCGGCTTTTTTTTTGTAAAATACCCGGGATACTATAAACAGCGCTGTACGGTACAATGACTAGTCTGTGATCGTTTAGTTTCTTAACGGTTATGGTCACATAATTTCGCAAACATTCATTGGGAACACAGAATTTATGTGATTTGTATGATTTGATATGATTTAAGCTCGTTGATAGACACCGATTACACAAAAAATTATTAATTATAATAATTTATAATAATGTGATTTGATGTAGTTTGCCAAGACTCGCACTAAAACAAATCGCATGATTTCCATGTCCACAAGAATATAATAATTAGTAATTATGTATTTTTTTGAAGTATCAACTGTAAAATATCGGAAATTCCGGTAATTTAAAAAAAATTCCGGCGCAATTTTTTGATCGAAAATTTCCCGTTTGTTCAAAAATTTAATACATTCTTACATCATAACTGATTGTAACTTTTGTTACTACCTCCGGCTATAGATTCTAAATTCTGTTTAATAAAAAGGTCATCGGGACACGTCATGCCACAATTTTGTGCACTGTTGCCAAACTTGCACTAAAATGAATCGCATAATTTCCTTGTTCACGAAGTCATGAAAACACAATAATTAATAATTATGCGATTTAATATAGTTTGTCAAGAATCGCACTAATAATTTCAGTGTCTCTGGCATCCATGTTTCCATGTTCACAAAGTCATAATAACGCAATAAATAACGTCTAACAGTACCCTTATAAAGTATTGACTATAGCAACTTGTGATCAATAATACATGATTATTACACAATATAGGAATATATTTATTTATTGAGGTATTCAATACACTATATAATATATAGTTAATTACATCAATAATTAAACCAATTTATTATTAAAAACTGATATTTCAATTTATAAAATTAAATTCGCAAAGTAATATTAAGTCTACTTTATTATATCATTTTGCCATTAATTCCCTTTGATATTTCAAGCACTTAGTTACGAATAATAAATATGTATTTGTAATTTAGAATATTTGTTAGAACATGATTGTGCATATTGATTAAATTGTTAAAATTGTTATCGTTAGATTATTCATCAAATCAATATTAGAATAGAATAAAGTTTACTGGTATCGGTATCTGAAAAATTGTAACATAGGAATTTGTGTTTCATTAATAGAATTCTAGAAATTACATAATATTTTTTAAAGATTAATTAACAAATAAAGAATTTGAAATTCCAATTTTATCAATTGTGTTTCATTAATAGAATTCTAGAAATTACATAATATTATTTGAAGATTAATTAACAAATAAAGAATTTGAAATTCCAATTTTATCAATTGTGTTTCATTAATAGAATTCTAGAAATTACATAATATTATTTGAAGATTAATTAACAAATAAAGAATTTGAAATTCCAATCTTAACGTTAACATCAATTTTGAGGAATTGTACTGCAATTCTCACCTAAAATAGTAACTTACTGTAATTAAGTATAGATCTGCATCAAGAAAGTTATCACCGCGGATTATACCATAATTTGCATACATCAGTTGTGTACCATCACGTACATCAATATTTTTTTTGACAAGTAAATTTGCATGGTTTTTTTTGCTTTTTAGATGCCGATGATTTTATTGGTTAATATGCGTGATTTACGCAAAAATTACTCAATTTTTAATATTAGTTAACTTGAAATTTAAATTTATTGCCATGAACATTACTGAATTTCAAATTTTGATTCTACAGCATATAAATAGTTACTCAAGCAAAACACTGAATGAAATATGAATTTGTTCAATGAATGTCGGACGAATAAATTTAAGAGTCTTTCAAATTTTAAAATGTCAGGAACAGACCTACTCAAATGACAGCTCTTGAATTATGTTCGCCAATTATTGGTATGCTAATCATTAAACACGCCAACGACTACTTATACTTTGGATTTCAAGTCTATTATTATTATTTACCCAAATCGACGACATAAACTCACATATTATTACTTACATATAATGCATGTTCCTGATCAGAGCTGAGCTCGGTAAATTATAAATAATAAACATGAAACTGGAATCTAATTTCGGTTTGGCGTCACTCACATGTATTAATACAGTGCAACGAACGTCTTCATAATCATCAAAAAGCAATGAATTTTATGTTGTGTCTCGAGTTTTGAGGCTTTGTAAAGTTTTTCCAAGTTTTACACATTTAATATTGTGTTTCGAGTTGTACGACATTATTAATTTTTTCTGTGAAAAAAAACTTCATATTATATTCAACTAACATATAAAAACGCGATGAATTCCACTTTCAAAAGGTGTTCAATTTTACATAACCTTTACACGAAAATAAGGATGAAGCATTTTGCATCTGTCATTCTCTTCTTAATTGTTGCTTCTATTGGAGTGACCGTCAATGCTATCGTGACGGGAACATATTTTGACCGAATTGTCTTGGTCATGTTTGAAAACACTGGATATAATAAAACAATAGTACAACCTTATTTTCTAAATTTAACTACCCGTAGTAATGGCCTTGTTCTTTCCAACTACTTTGCGGTTTCACATCCGTCTCAGGTAAATCTTATTTGTCTATTTCTTTTGATTATAAAATTTGAAAATAACTTTCTTGTATTTTAGCCAAATTACATTGCCACTATTTTTGGTTCAACCGCTAATATCACGGATGATTCAAATCACGACATTGCCGGAACCAATCTAGTTGACCGTCTTGAAGCTGCCGGTATCTCCTGGAAAGCTTATATGGAAGACTATCGTATGTGCATCATGCTTATCACTAAATCTAATTAATTAATTTATTTATTTTGGATTGTTATTCAATTTCACTATATCATTTCTATCATTTTTATAGCTGGTAACTGTGATCCCATTAGTGTTTACCCTAAAAAAACAAAGTTATACGCAAGGAAGCATAATCCTTTCATTTCAATGGATACTATAAGATTAAATTCCACTCGTTGTGCGAAAATTGTTGCTGGTACCCAACTTGATTCTGACATAACTGCAGGTCAAGTACCGCAATTTGTCTATTATGTACCAAATCAAAAAAATGATGGTCATGACACTGGCGTAGCATTTGCAAACAATTGGTTACAAAATTGGCTTGAACCAAAGCTTACGCAACCAGCATTCACAAACAATACATTAATCTTTATCACTTTTGATGAAGATGACGGTACTGAAGGCAATCACATTTATAGCGCTCTTGTTGGTTCTCCTGTTGTTCCTCCTACAAATCATAATGACAATACCGCTTGCACTCATTATTCATACCTGGCTACAAAGTTAAATTTTACATCACTTCAGATGTTAGATTTAGAAATAAATAGAAACTAAATATGACTATATGAGTGCCAAGTAATTGTAAACTAAGAAAACTAGACAGCAAGCAACTATTTCAATAGTTTTCTATTTGTTATTAATTTAAATCAAGAAATTGAAAATTTAAATTTGAAAACTTAAGTGAGAATAAAAATCATTAAGTAACTACATATTACTATAATAAGACTAAGAATTTGAATATTAATCAGTTATTTGAAGTGCTCAGATAAGTTGACCCTGAATTTGAAAAATAAAACCTTCAGATCAAACATAAAAATCTTGAGATACAGTAAAACTCCGGTAAAAGTCAAAATTTTATAAAATAGTAAAATCTAATTTTTTTATGATAATAGTAAGGTTGAATTTTGCTGCTTTGCCAAGATTTAATTTCATTGCTGATTTTAAAAAATTAATAGCCAATACTTATAAACATTTGAACTAAAAACACCAGCATCGCCAATAATCAAGGGGGCAGTCACATGATTTCCCATCCACTTAGTTTTTATAGACCCTAGATATAACAAACTTTTTTATAACTAACTTTTTCAACGAACTTTCTTATACCTAACTTTTTCATCGAAATTTCTTATAACAAACACTTTTTATAACGAACTTTCTTATAATGAACTTTTTCAACGAACTTTCTTATAATGAACTTTTTCAACGAACTTTCTTATAACGAACTTTTTCAATGAACTTTCTTATAACAAACTTTTTCATGAAATTTCTTATAATGAACTTTTCAACGGACTTTTTTTATAATGAACTTTTTCAATTAGTTCAACAAACTTTAACTTTCAACAAATTTCTTTTTCAATGAATTTCTTATAACAAACTTTTTCAATGAATTGTTTTTATAATGAATTTTTTTCAACGAACTATTTTCATATTAGACTTTTTCAACAAACTTTTATACGAGTTTTTATAACTTTCTTAGAACGAATTTTTTAAATCAATTTATTATAGGATTTGGTGTAGAAACAGTAAATTACTATATAAAGAACTTTCAAAAATTTTTATTATAACAGTTAGTTCACTATAAAGAGAATCTACTATATTTCTATTCATATTTGTATAGCAAAAACAATAATATTTAACCAAACTTTAAGAAAACACATGATATAGCTTTTTTTCTAGAAGTGAATATTTTTACTGATCTTCATTTTGCAAAAATTTAATACATGGTTCACTATTACTTATTTGCATTGTTTATTGGTATTAATTTTATATTTCCTGCTTTAGAATTTATTTATTGTTTGATATTCCTTTTATCCATTACCTACACTTTGGAAATGTATTGCGATATTCAAAATTCATATATATTTTACCGTTATACTATATTATGGCAGTCAAATTTGTTTTTTCAATATTTGTCATAACTGGTAACCGTTTCTATTTAAATAATAATAATAATAATAAAAATTGTAAACCAAATTCACCCCAAAACAGTGAAAACTTAAAAAATTTGAAGACTTTCCGGAGGGTCTTAGGTCGGAAAATCATGTGACTGCCCCCTCGATTATTGGTTATGCTGGTGCTTTTCATTTGAACTCTTTCACTTAAGTCAATAAAAAAATTTTGAAAACATGATGCATATTATCAAAACTAATGTTTATTTTTAAAAAATGTATTCTTCAAAGAAATTTGTTTAAAAAACCACCTACTACAAAAAAGTTTACCTTGAATAAATCTACCGACATGAATCATAAATCCTGATGTTAGCGAAAATTTATGTTAAATCATCTATTATAAAGGTTCATTTAGGAATGTGTCACATATTGTACAATCCTGTTAGTTTCACTTCACCACACTCAATTCGTATACGTAACATTTCTGTTTTGTCGGCGCTTTTTCACCGACAAGTTCATTTCACTGACAGCTTATTTCACCAACAATTTTTTTTCATAAATTCTGCTAACCTTAGCTCTAATTCTAACCTGACCTGAAAACAATGACCAGAATTATTTTGTCAGTGAAATGTGCTTTGGTAAATAAACTATCGGTGAAATGAACTTGTCAACAAAAATGTCAGTGAATAGAATATCAGTGATATGTTACGTCTACAATATGAATGTCGTAGAAGTAAGCCGCACTGGTACAATCCTGATTAGTATAATGAAATACGCATTAGAAAGAGAACCTTGAAGATATTTAAATTTTTGCGATAATCTCTATGTAATTCCATATAAATTTTCACGCATTGATTGAATTATATATTCATCTCAACCTCATTTAGTAGTGGTATGTGATTTCTGTTTACTGAAATTTTATAGGAATATCTAGAAAATTTATAATATATAGTATAATACTGTCTCTTATATCGTGCAAGGATCATTAATCTTGATTTTATAATAAATTATTATTCGATGACACTCTCAAGGCAACATTTTTTTTCTTAAAAATTCATATCAATAATTTTGCTTGATTCTTTTAGTTTCTGCAAATCTAATTTACTACAAACTTAATTTATTAAATCCTTGACTATTACTGAATTATTACAATTTAGCATGGCACCTCAAATTCAATAAAAGCCTTTTAATTTGCAATTCGTGCAAAAATAAATCAAAGGTTCTTTAGTAATAAAATAAAGGCGATTATAAACGAAACCGCAAACAAAAAAGAATATATTTTTTGACAGGTTAAATATTTAAGAATAGCAATATTGCATGTTCAATTTTTTGGATTACTCAAATCATCAATCAAATTATCTTCTTGTGGACCAATATTACCGAACCTCTTTATTTTATAAATCAACCATTCAAATGATAGGCTAAAGTTAGGTACATCACGAGATTCCTGTTATGTAACCCAAACAAAACACAGCGAGACGGCAAAGACAAAACTCAAAAAATATAAAAAACGGTCATAAAAACCAGACAAGTAAAAATATTGAAATGCGTTTTTACTACATATATATCAATTACTTTAATAATCTAACCCTAACCATAACACTAACATCAATCAAAAATCAGAAACATCCCTAAATAAGGAAATTTTAAGCAATCATAGGTAGAAACTCGTATGATTGGATAATTTGTAGGTCTAATCGTGATAATTAACCAATCAAAAATGCACAATTTTTTTAAAAGGATTTATCGTTTTAATACAGTAATATTATTAAAAAAAAAAAACTTCATATAAAGAAGTTTACAAATCAATATATACAAGTAAATGAATTTACCACATATGTTTAGACGCGTAAAGTAGGTGAATTAAACTCATTAAGGAATCTACAAGATATAAACTAAAACTTTAATTTACGGTTGATAAATCCAAACACACTACAAGAATCGACCAATTTCAACATTAAACCTATTTAATAGTAAAGGTTTACATCTATTCAAATTAAAAACAGTTACCAATAAAAATTTATTTAAATCTAACGTAATAAAGTAGTTACTTTCACTTCGCAGTATAATTTTGCATAACCCAATAGACTAGTATATTTTTTGTTCGAAGTAAAGTAAAAGGTTGAAAGCTAATAATTTATAGTTATTGTATGGGTATGTAGTGAATAACCCAGTTACACACGGGTTCATATTCCGTGCCGAAGGCACGGGATTTAAATATGAACCCGTGTGTGTAACTGGGTTATTCATACCCATACAATAACTATCTTATTGCACGGTGTCTGACGTAACAATCCCGTGCCAATAAGTAAATGAAAAAAGCACGGGTTGTCACATAAGACCCGTGCAATAAATTGCTTTAGTAGATTTTTGTTTGTTTGGCCTTCAGCAATAACATTCTCGGTTACCTTTTTCCATTTTACTGATTAATACACAAGTTATATTCGCTTCAAAGTAAATCCTTTGCTTTTGAGATTATTTTGACATTACGCATATTGCATAGTGAAAGGCAACGTTATTCTTAAACGAATTGTGAAAAAAAATTTTTTTCGTAAGTAAAATGATGAAAAGTTGCAGTTAAAAAAGTACTTTAAACTGTATAAATTATTCCCAAGTCAATTTATTTACATCAGCCAATCAAACGCAAGTCCTCCTATGAGTTCGGTAATACAGTATTAATCTTTATTGCAATATTGTGTGTAACGCGAAACTTTATAAATACATTTTCGTACTGTATCACTTTTCGTTTTTATGTAAGCATAACAATCTGCGTAGTTTTGTTTTTAAACTATATACGTATTTAAAATGATATTCTTACCAAATGAGTGTCTTTTTGAGATATTTAATAATCTCAGAAATTATTGTAGATTCTTATTTTCATGCCTTCTTGTAAACCGTCGATGGTGCAGAATTATAGTTCCAATATTATGGAGTGAACCACTATTGTATTGCGATAATAAAAAGCTCATGAAAATATACTTTTTATCATTGAATGACAAAGAAAAAGAGCCGTTATTTCCATTAGATATATTACTTCCAAATGGCCCAAAATTATTATTTGAATACACGTCTTATACTACATCGTTCGACTGCGACTATTTAAGAAGAGGGATTATAAATTGGCTTTGCCATGAGGAATATGAGCCTAAAAACAATTATGAATATTTTGAAGAATATCAAAAATCAGAGAATACGGTTCAAATAGTTATATATTCGTTAATTGCAATGCTATTACGAACAAGCAAAAACATTAAGCATTTGTTTATAAATGAAATCGACAATAAGGACAAATTTGTAAATACTTTAGTAGACATTCTTTATAAAAACACTACTATTACCTCCTTAAATCTTTCTCAAGTTAAGCTTGGTTTTGAAGAAATAAAGGCACTATCAGATGTCCTTTGTGTAAATATTTGCCTAACCTCATTAAAATATTATGATTGTAAACTTGGTACTGACGAAGTTAAATTGCTTGTAGAGGCGCTTTGTAAAAATACAACGTTATCCGCTTTAGAAATTTCTGGTAACAAACTTGGTGATGAAGGAACGATAGCATTTACAGAAGCTCTTTACAAAAATGACACATTGACTTCCTTAGATTTTAGTTATAATAATTTCGGTCTTGATGGTGTAAAAGCACTTGCAAATGCTCTTTATAAAAACACAACTCTGAATTATTTGAATCTTGATGGCAATGAACTGAGCATTAATGAAAGTAAATTATTGGCAGAAGTTCTTCGCAGAAACACTACTATTACCACTTTAAGCCTTTATAATAATAATTTAGGTTTTGAAGGGATAAAAGTAATAGCAGATGCTCTTTATGTGAATACTATTTTAAATTCTCTAAACATTGGATGTAATAAAATTAGTTTGGAAGGAGTTAAAGTGATAGCAGAAGTCCTTTGTAAAAATATTGCTTTAACTTCTTTATATTTTAATTCAGACCAACTTGACTTTAAAGATGACAATTCATTGGCAGAAGCTCTTTGTAAAAATACAACTCTTAAATATTTGAGCCTTTATAATAATCGGCTTGGTTCTAAAGGAGTAGAAATGTTAGCAGAAGCTCTTTATAAAAATATTAATTTAACTTCTTTGGATCTCAGCAGTAATCTAATTACTTTTAATGGAGTAAAAGCATTGTCAGATGCTCTTTATAAAAATAATACTTTAACTTTCTTAGATATTAGCGGTAATAAGTATGCATTTTTTACTGTAGAGTTATTATTATATGCATTTACAATAATATCGCATTAACATATTCAAATAGGACCCCTGAATACTAATATGCTATATATATAAACCTTTGTCTTTCAACCCTATATAAGTGTACAAGTAAATTTTATTATAAAGTGTACACTTACCTTAAAGCTATATATTTAATGTACGACATAAGTTTATATATATTTTTTATACTCTAATAAAGTGTACAGATAAAGCTAAATTAAATATTAAGCTTATATACAACAAAGGTTTAAATTTTTGAGTTTGCTTTTCGGAATTTTTCGGATATTTTCTCATAATTTCAGCCCTACCTTGCTTGTAATTTATGTTCATTCATTTTCTATCCGGAACTTTTCGGAATTCACCTATTTTTTTTATGTACTGTACGATATACCAATACCACGTATTAGTAAGTGTACACCATACTTTTAATAATAAATATTAATAAGTGTACGTTAAAGATCAAGCAAATTTGCTAAAACTTTACTATTAAAAAAAAAAAATCTTTGAAACTGTACACAAACGTTTTTAAAAATTTACTTTAAGTGTACTACAAAGGTTTTTTATATATATTCAGGGGTCCTATGATAATATGTGATAATATTTTTGATCAACTTCATAAATTATATAACAGTTACAAATTAACTTATACCTATATAACATTTATAGTGCTAACAAACGTGATAAACTGGCTAGTTCAACCGGTTTCCCGAACTGAATCAATATAGTTTCTCCTAACTACTTAACATCTCTATAACTAGAAACCGGAAACCAGTATAAGTGCGGAACACATAATTTTAGTATGAACGTTTGATTAATGCTGAAAAATCTGGTCATGATCAAAATTTTCAGGGGCGTTACAGACGGAAAATGCCGAAATTACGTTTTTGATATATGGATCAAAATCGTAATTTCAGTCATCAAAGCGCATAGAAATATGCGTTAGTACGTACGGAATGTAAGACAAATGAATATTTTTATACAATATTTTCCCAAATAATTGTTCAGATATGTCCTCATATTTACGGACCAAATTTTTAATTTATTAACTCCGTTAGTAGTTTATCTAATTCAATATATGATTAGCGCTTTATCATTAATCAGTGTTGTCAATTTGACTATTGAAATCAGAAATTGGTCCAATTGGACATATGTCCAATTTCAATTGGAGTATGTCCAATTGGTCCAATTACTGGGCCCAATTAGTCCAATTGACAACAAACCACAATGTTCTTCAGCACAAAAGTAGATGCAAACTCTTTGATTCTCGAATTTACAAGGTTCAACAAAGTTAATCCTTTTAAGCTTCAATAAATTGACTCAATTACTGTATTTCTAGGATACTCATAAGTAGACTAGTTGTTATTCTTACGCAATCATTTAATTTACTGTATTTTAACTTCCTTATAAAGTTAGATCCTGAAAGTTTTACAGAACTAAAACTTTCACTCGAAATATGCACATATATGTACGTGCATGCAAGAACTCCATGGTAACAGCACGGGTTAAATGTCTGAACCCCTACATGTAAATTTGGTCCCTATATCAGCTAACTAATTTTGGAATATGCTATATTAAAAAACAGATAAATTTTATAAAATTGATTCTTGAACAGTAAAATCGTCAGTAGCATTATGTAAATTATTTTACGATGTAAAATAATGTACCGCTGCCGATTTTTTTTTTTTTTACCTAATTTCATCCATAGATCTATAGACACATGATATAGATAGATCGTATGTTCTTTTGGTGGGATATCTTCGTCACATGTACCTTCAACCATCTTACATATTCAAATAATACAGTAATAGGTTATTAAGAGATAATTTTATTTAATAGAAATCATCTTTCTTTTAATCATGTGAATTGCGCGTATTCATTCATCTAAAATATCGATTGATCATTATGATGTATTTGCAAAATTTGGATATTAATCTAAGGTATTATTCATTTATGATTGTTTTTTGACTATTCCTTATTACAAATTATTAGCCCATTTCTTCATATAAAGATGCAATAAGAAGGTGGGTATACCGATCCAGTTCAATGCTGAACGACAGTTAAACCTCACGTGTCGAAAGTTACAAGTGATGTAAAATTTAGGTTCAAACGTTTTTGTCAACATCTTTCGCGTAAAACAATATCTATGAATTTATTGGTTAAATACCGTGTTTAATAATTTTATATATCGAAATTCATAATCTTTAAGATCTTCTTTAAAATATAAGAACGGACATGAGAATTATAAAGAAAGGAGTACATGAATTATTTGGCGGAAGTTCGATTTTCTCGTAGTAAAGGGATATTCATGCATCAAATCATCATTTGTGACACGGATGAGAACCAATGAAAATTTGAGGGGAAATATTTTCCGTTCATAAAAGAAAATGTAGATCTAATTTCGGTTAACCTTTATATAAAAGTTTCTTGATTTATTATTTACAATAAATATTTAAACATTGACAATTAATTGATTAAATACCTAATTATTATAAAAGTTATGGTAACTCAATTATCACCAGAATTATTAGGAAATGTCTTCGAACAAGTCGATAACGATATTGCAACTCTATGGTCCATGTCATTAGTAAATCGTTTTTGGTGTAGAGTTGGAATTCCTATATTGTGGCGAACACCTTTTAGAATGAATGTGCATTATTTATGGCGTCAATCATATTACAACAACTTTTCACCAAAGCTTCATAACATTGTTCCTATTCTCATGTCATTTCTCGATTCTGAATCAAGACTATTTTTAAAAGACAAAGATGTACTAATTACTTCTGAGCCATCATCTAATTTCAATTACGTAGCATTTTTAAGAGAATTAGATATTCATGTCTTGCATGAAATTGTTGATGAATGGTTTGATCAAGTTGGTGTTAATACAATTGTTGATTATAAAAATGAACATGAAAATCCAGTTATCATAAACGGACATCACTATAAGAAAAATAGAACGATATATTTAGTCATCGAAATATGCAAACTCATATTAAGATGTTCCAACAAAATCACTAGCCTTTTCATAAGCAATGATATTGTTAAAGGTGACCTTATTGTACCATATTGCACTTTTCTAAAGAATCTGGCATCGTTTCATGGAGCTACTAAATCTTTATCGCATCTGGAAATTCTGAATATTCGAGGGCCGTACATAGATGATGACTTACTATTCAACCTCTCGAAAATTTGTCACAATGTTTTAATTCTTGATCTTAATGTTATGAATGGATATTTTAGAACAAATTTTGCAACAAATTGTCTGCCAAAGTTCATCAAAAATCAACATAATTTGCAAAAAATATACCTAGGGTGTTTCTATAAGGACATATCGCCGATCGTTGAAGCGTTGCAGACTCAAATTCATTCCCTCATCGATATCCAGTTTACGTCTTGTAGATTTTCCCAAAGTTCATTGATGGAATCTCTTATTACAAAATGCACTAAATTAAAAACCATCACGCTTAAATCACATTTGAATGAACTTAAAGATATGAAATTAATGCTACAGCCACTGGTCAACTGTAATCTGACCATGCTACGACATCTTTCACTTGATGTGTGGAGTTATGAGGATAGTCGGTTTGAAACCATTGCGAGATATTTGCAAAAAGTACTTGAATGTTATGGCAAATCCTTAAATCAATTGAGACTTCGATTCAATTATAGCAAAAACCCTAATATTCTGAATGAAATAGGACAGTACTGTCTAAATTTGAGTACTCTTATTTTTCCTTTCCATAGACGAGATGACCTTGAACATCTACTTCATCTTTTACCAAAGTTGAAACATTTAAAAAAATTGATTATTGAGGCGTGGAACAGAGTGTATTGCGCTGATGAGTTCTTTTCACATATTTGCGATCTCATTCTTCAAACAACACCTCGTAATTTTGAAATGTACTGGATAATAAATCATGAGACCGTTGAAAACTTTTTGAAAAAATGCAACAATCTATCAGATCATATAAAATCCTTTACATACTACTGTAAAGACGATCCAGAGCTTCATTATCGCGTTTTGCGCGCATATGGAAACATGCTTGAAAAAAGAGGACTTATTCGAGACTCATCGATCCAGATTCTAACCCAATATTTCTCTTCAAATACGCAACGAGAGTTGAGTTATCATATCATTATCTTTAGAGTTATTTGACACAGTCCTTGACGCGTGTAACACGTAGAATTTATATATTTTAATACTCCAAATTATACCGCTCACATATTTCATCATATAGTATCATAGAGTGAGTTATTATATCATTATCTTTAGAGTTATTTGAAAAAGTCCTTGACGCGTGTAACATGTGGGATTTATATATTTTTAATACTCCAAATTATATCGCTCACATATTTCATCATATAGTGAACTTTTATTCGGAGAAAAATGAGAGCGTATATCACATTGTATGACAATATGTTATATAATAATTATTATAATTTTTAATTATACAAGTAAAAACGTCATATATTATTATTATGAATCCAATAAAAAACTAGAATTGTATCTTTTTGCTAAATTAAATCTAATTCGTGACAATAGACAATGTAAAACAAACCTCACGTTTGTCCTCAAATTAATTATCGCGTCTGACGCTGAAATTTGGAATCTCTTTATTAACAGCTCTAACTATAAATATTAGTCTGACAAAGCTAAAAAAAAAAACAAAAAATTTAAATTTTCATATTGTAAGCCTTTTATTAACAGCTCTAATTTCAAATATTAGTCTGACAAAAGACTAAAAAAAATTTTAAATTTTCATATAAAAATAAGTCCAAATTTCTGCATCAGCCATAATATTTATTGCAATGGAAATTGTGAAAATTATACCGGTATAATATCTGATATGATAATGCAAATATTTCCATTTAGATGTTAATCTCAAAATTTGCATTCTTTTAAAATCCAAGCTATAAACACTTTGACTGCTTGATAACTGACATAAATCTAAATTCTTACTCAATAACTAAATAAACCGCGTTTGTCTTAGGTGAAATAATCATTGCATATTTTAGAAGCATATAACTTGAATTACTTATCAAATTATAATAACTTTCTAGTATATTTTTTATTTTAGAAATAGTAAACCCATAGTTATAAATGACTTAATAAGAAAATTCGCAATATACACAAGGCCATTTAAACATGATTTATTTTTATTTTTTTTGTTTTTTTGTTTTTTACGTTAGCCAATATGCTTAGTTCGAACCCTATCTGTGATTTCTACTAAACAAGAACCCACATACGTGCTAGTGTTAAAAATGCTTATACTAAAATAATTATAAACTAATTTGCTATGCAGAATTGGTAAATAAAGGCCACCACAACGATGTCTCACCGTAATTAATGAAATGCGATACCTTTGGACTGGGTTATCCCTTAATTTTCACAGTTTAGAAGGACATCATCCAATATTGCATCAAGAAGTTGAGCACTACATTAAAACAGTGAAAGTTGATATTTTAGCAAATAATTTATTATTCATGAAAGTAAACAACAACAATAATGAACACTTTGTATTAACGTCACGCTCAACCTGGATCAGCACCGGGAATGATACAGTCTTTGTCATTTTTTGCTAGATTATTGTTTACTCGTGGATCTGAAGTGAATGACTGTTTCCCCATTTCTGTTTACAGCGTAAAGGTTTGGTGTAATTATTATCAAGACCATAATAAATCCAACACGAGCAATGAAAAAATTTACCAACTACTGTGCCAAAAATCGGAATGTCGCCAATATCTTTCACATTTTTTTGATCAACTTCAGAAATACTGCCATAGTTTATATCCGCAGCAGATTTATTGCTTGACGACCCAGGAAAGACTGACATGCAATTTTGACCTGAAGAAATCACTTCTTGTTTTGGTTTTTCATTTTCTTTGGTACAGTAATAGATATTAAATTCATTTGGTAAATAAATAATTTTCAAATATGAAAACGAACCTAAGAGTTTAACACAGGTATCTATACTGCTCTGGGTTTTTTCGTACCATCGTTAGCGGGAACAATATTAATCTGATTAATAATATTCATAGAAATCTATGAAACTAGCGAAGCGCAGCAATCCAAAAAAAGAACTTTTATCTCACAAATCGCAAAATTGCAAAAGATTTATTAGAATCAAATATTTTCGAAATTGAAAATTTATACGTTTATATAAAATAAAAAAATCATCGGATTAATAATATGAAGTCATAGAATAATGCAAATTTGCCAAATGAAGATTATACTATCAATATACATTTGCATCATAAGTCGCTTGTATGACGATATTTGCAGAGTTAATGTGAGTTAGTGTTAGAATTCTGCGTTTGAATGAGTTTCTAATAAAAAATCGAAACCATCGAAACCAGGTTCGGTAAAACCAGTTCGATCATATTATATGTTTACGTAATTTAGCAAATCTATATTGCAGGTTACTAAAAAAAATTATAATATTCTATCATAT